TCCCATCCCCATCCCATCTCCATCCCATCCATCTCCATCTCATCCATCTCCATCCCATCCATCCCATCCCATCCATCCCATCCCCTCCATCTCCATCCCATTCCCATCTCCTTCTCCATCCCCATCCCATCCCCACCCCACCCGTCCGGATGTCGTGGTTGATGCCATCCACAGCGATGATGGCGTTGGCGATGCCCTCCTCAGTGTCCGCATCCCGAACCACCCCCTTAATCCCGCGGTGAACCTGTGGGCCGCACCAGCACAACGCGCGTCAGGGGGCACGGGCGTCCCCTGCGCGTGTCCCCCCGGGGGCGTCCCCGTCCCCACCTGCTCCATGTAGAGCAGCAAGGACTCCCGGTTGTTCTCCCACTCCTCTGGCAGCTCGGAGGCGTGCGGGAATTTGTCACAGGAGAGCTCCACCGTGATCTCAAAGCAGTTGGTGTGCAGGTAGCTGAAGTCGTTCATGCCTGTGCCAGACACGAAGGGGTAGCAGGGAGGGTCCCCAAATGCTCCCACCCACCCCAATATCCCCGTAGCCCCACTCACTGCCGGGCACCGTGTGCCAGTTGGCGCCGTTGATGACGTTGCCCAGGCGGGCGAAGTCGTCGTAGTGGCAGAGGCGCCGCTCCTCGCTGGCCATGGCCAGGTTGGAGGTGGCGTAGACGGTGGCCAACCAGCGGAAGACGCCGTCGTCCGGGGTGGGGGTCAGCTCCTGCGCCTTCCAGTAGGTGCGGGTCATGTCGAAGGGGTAGGTGACCACCAGCTCCCCCCCGTGCAGGTTGGCGCTCAGCACGAAGGGGTAGCGCTGCATCCAGTCGATCACCGCCCGCGTCTCGGGGGCCACCTGGGGGGACCCCGTGTCAGAGGGGGACGGGGACACCATGATGGGATGCGGGAGCGGTGCCCATCACCCCCTTCTTGGCTGAGACCCCATGGGTCCGTCCCTGCTGCACCGCATCCCTGTGGTGGGCATCATCTCAACCCCATGGTGGGCATCACCTCAATCCTATGGGTGGCCATCACCCCATCCCCATAGTGGCCATCACCCCATCCCTATGGGTGGCCATCACCCCATACCCATCGTGGCCATC